GACCAGAGGCTGAAGAAGCTGCATCCACCCAGATCAAGGGCCAGAGAAGATGGGGCTGCTGAGGCACGGAGCACTCTGCAGCAGGAAGATCTTTCTAGAGCCAAGTGTCTCTTGAAAAAAGAACAGTATTGTTGGGAAATGCTTCCACAGAGGAGATGTGACTGCTGCTGTACATCACACTGTACAGCACCAAGCACAACGGGGACCTTTATCTTGTTTATGTTCTTTACCAAAATCCTACAAATAATAAGCTGTGGATTAGCCCTTTGGGGAAATCAGGAGATGAAGGATGACTGGTGCTTGTTAGCTCACAGCCAGCAGAACTCTACCTCCAGTGGCTACGTGTCAGTAGAAAAGGGAAGGTTATTGAGGTGACTCAGACTTCCAGTACTCAAAGGAATCTCTACCCCTCACAAATTTCAGCGAGTCCTGTATCACCCCCGGAACGTCTGGCTAATTAGAGCATCTTTGAGAGACACATCCGATGCTGAAGGCTATTTTGGGATTTCAAATTAGCTCGTGCAGACTCCAGGCTAGAATCTGAATGTAGTAATGCTATGAGAGGGAGGAAGATGTTTGATGCAGGGCATGTTTTCAAAATACTTTTGGCACATACAGTTATTTTCAATATATTATGATTTACATTCCTCCATAACATAAAAATCTTTCACATAAACATGCAACAAATGCAATGCACAAGGCAAGCTGTGTTACTCCAAAGGCAGTGTCACAAGATCCACTTCTACTGGTAAAAAACTGCATCATAATAGATGATCTCTATCAAATCTTTTCCACTTGATATAAAAGCTGTGCCTATTAAGAAAGAAACGGGAAAGATTGGTACAACACCATATAAATTGATGTTCCAATTACACTGTAAATGAAGACGCATTCGATAAACAGGCCACAAATCCAGACACGTTATGTTTTCCCCTGGCAGAAAACTACAGATACAATTTTCAAGTTAAAAGTCAAAGAACTGAGGGTAATCTCACTCTGCTGCAGCATTTCCACATATCACCACTTTCTATTGTTCCTAATACTTCTAAGATAAGAGAAACTCGTTTGGTAGCTTTACAATTCCATATAAAATAAGACTTATGTCCTTCCATGTCCTATGCCCAGGGCTTTTCATGGTTGTCTTTTGAAACCATTACACTTCCCCAGCCTTCCAAGGGGTTTATTTCTTTGTTCTTTAATTTATGGAGCTCAGACTCGCAGTGATCTCAAGATTTGAGAGAAAACGATCAGCTGTCCCCAGAGGAAACGCTTACAGCTGCTGCCTTTGGGCCTGGGGGAAGATGTGTCCTTGCTGTGTAAGCAGGTCACTCCACCGATGCGTGATCATCTCCCCAACCAAGGTACTGCTCAGTCTGCAAGCACTTGCGTGCATTAATTAAGGTATTTATTAGAGAATAATCAAGTAATTGGGGCCAGAGCAGCCGCCAGAGGGAGCCCTGTCACTGTGGGTGCTGTCCAGCACCAGCACCCAAAGGTGCTGGGGGGTCCATCACCCTCCCTGGGGGCTCTGGGTGTTCAATCGCTGACAGCAGGCGGGCAGCTCCGTGGGGCTCTGAGCTAACCGTGTCCCTGAGCTGTCTGTGGTGAGGACATCAGGCAAAAACACATAAAAAAACTCACCAACCAGATCACCCTTCAGAGCCCATCAGTGGGGGTGTGGAAGGGGTAGAGCTAGTAAGGTCGAGCTGGGCAGCATCTGGTCTAAAATCTGCAGTCTATAATTTTAATGCATTATGGACTATATCAGAATTCCTACTGAGGCGTTCCTTGGGCTGCTCTGTTTCTAGAGCACGGGGTAACAACAACTTCAATGCCACCATGCTGCTCAGAGCACTCTCATAAAGGCCAGCATGGCATTCACAAACCAGCTCCAAGAGACAGATCTCCTTACTCATTTCCCTCTCTCTTCAAACCCACTTAAACCTCCCAGCAGGTCAAGGGAGGTGATTCTGCCCCTCTACTCCGCTCTTGTAAGGCCCCACCTGGAGTACTGCGTCCAGTTCTGGAGCCCCCAACATAAGAAAGACATGGACCAGTTAGAACTAGTCCAGAGAAGGGCCACCAGGATGATGCGAGGGCTGGAGCAGCTCTGCTGTGAGGACAGGCTGAGAGAGTTGGGGTTGTTCAGCCTGGAGAAGAGAAGGCTCTGGGGATATCTTATAGTGGCCTCCCAGTACCTGAAGGGGCTACAAGAAAGATGGGGAAGGACTTTTCATAAGGGCAGTTAATGACAAAACAAGGGGAAATGGGTTTAAACTGAAAGAGGGGAGGTTTAGATGAGATATTAGGAAGAAGTTCTTCACTGTGAGGGTGGTCAGACACTGGAACAGGTTGCCCAGAGAAGTTGTGGCTGGTCCTCCCCTGGAAGTGTTCAAGGTCAGGCTGGATGAGGCTTTGAGCAACCTGGTCTAGTGGAAGGTGTCCCTGCTGCTGGCAGGGGGGTTGGAACTGGGTGATCTTTAAGGTCCCTTCCAACCCAAACCATTCTATGATTCTATGATTCCCCACAAGGTCTCGGTGGGAGAGCTCTATGCAGGTACGTACTGAAGCCTCCTCCACACCGTGACCTCTCCGAAAGCGTCAGTCACGTAACCAGCCTTTCACAAGAGGAATTTATTTGTGGATATATAAAGAATGGCTCCGATTTAGCAGCTCAGATGGTGCCGCCCCCCACACATCCCACACAGAACATGTTAGCAGCTTACAACAGGTTGCAAAAATAAACAAACTTACCCACTTGGCGTTGCCCCTGTTCGTCTTCACCCAAGTGATTGATCGCCATGTACTCTTGACTCCTGCAAATTGAAGACATTTGTGAGTCTCCTTAATGTAAACATGGATCAAAAAAGAAAAAAAAAAGATCCCTGCATGCAATTACACAGGAAGGAAAACATGCAACTTAAGCTGAGCTTTGAACATTTCACAGAAATATCAATACTGGGGTCTAAAAAGGGCCATCATTTTACATTTTTAAAGATCTGAGCAGAATTTTTTTTCTTTTTTTTTTTCTTTTTTTTTGGCAGTAAAACTATCTATATCCGTTGTCATTTTACATCTTTTGATATTTAAACTCGCCGATTCCTTTTTGCCCACATTTACATTACAGTGCATTTTCAAAGGGCACGTTATTAAGTTATCTCTAATTTATGCAGAAGCATGTGGTTTCTTTTAAATGTTTATTTTTAAAACATTTTTTTTTCTTTTTTTTCTTTTTTTTTTTGCAAATTTTTACATTAAAATTAACATCTGAAGAATTGTTTCAATAAAAGTTTATGCAAGTTGCCGTCACAGTTTATGTAAAAGAGAAAATGTGCTATTAAAATCAGACATTTAGGTTACCTTTTGGGTTTTGCGATGCATGTTAGCTTTACACATCCTGATTTCTCCTGCGATAATTTTCCTTTAAAAGGGGGGTAATAGGGTGATCTTTTCATCAAGCAAGACATTATGCCCTGAAAGCTGACTCCAAACCATCGTTGAAAATTCAGTTATTTACACTTTAATAACAAATCTACACATAACAACTTTGTTTTTTGTTTTAAAGTATTCCCCTCGATCATGCGCTGCTACAAGCAGTTTGCTTCCTAATGCTCTGTTTTTTTTCACCCCCGAGCAGTTTAATTCTCTTCCCCTTAAAATGCCAGATTCATTTTGCAGATGGGAAACACAAACCATTTGTCATGTCTCTCTAAGCAGCAGTTTACTTTGAATTATTATATATATTTTTTAATATATATATATACACATACACACCCTCTCAGAAGGATTTGAGGAGCAACTGCAGCACCCTTCTCAAACAGATGTATATTTTTAAGTGGTTTTCCAAGTAAACCATAAAGTAGAAAGGGCATCATCTTAGCCAAGGGGGTTAAGGGGTGTTTTACATCAAGCAGAAAAAAACAAGTTTCCTCCTCCTGGTGGCAGCTAAGCCTTGATTTTTTCAGCATTCATTTTGTCTACATTTAAACCAGCCATTTCAGACTCAATCTGGAGTCTGTAGACTGGAATACTCTTGTCTGTGAAGCCGCCTGAGATCTGCATCAGTAATTCAGCAAAGAACCATAAACACTTTCCAGCAGATTGAAGTCAGATTTCTGCCACAGTCCAGGATCAAACTGCTTTTCAACAACTTCCAGGGGGTGAAAAACAATATATATATATATATTTTTTTTTTTTTTAAAGTTAAGCTCATTCAATGAGCTCGATAAAACTTTTTGTGAGAATTATAAAAAAAACCCACCATTTTTAGAATGTCTCCAGTTTTTAAAAACCCAATTAGCTTTAGCATTAATTTAAATTTATTTGGAAAAAAAAAAAAAAGCTATTTTATGGCTCAACAAAAAAAAAAAATGACAATTCATCACATTTACTTTGATTAAAAAAGGACTAAACTTTATTGACAAACTGCGGCAGACATTTTGACAAGTTTTAGCTACCTATTTAGGCAGACTTACACATGTAGCATTTAATTTTCAAGAACAGAGTGGGAGGACAGTGTACAAATCCAATTAGGACTTTATCCTATGTACAAAGTGAAATTTTTCCTCTTTTTTTTTTTGTTTTGTTTTGTTTTTTTTTTTCAGCTGCAGTGTCCCTTTTTATGCAGAGCTAGTGTTGAGATACACTTGAACAAGTCAACGGGATTGCTAAAATTGACAATGTTGTCAGTTTTTAAACTTGCACTGTATTATGTGCCCCAAGCACTATCAAAATAAGACTATAATTTGACAGAGTTCAGACCTACCCACTTAATACTCTGTTTTTTAATATCAAACACTGGGCAATTAGAGCCATGCTTTAATTTGATTTTTGTTTTGTTTTTTCCCTTAAAAGTTCTTCATATAGAACCAAACTAAGAACCCCTTTAACACTGGAAAAATCTGCTTCCCAAGCATCTCTCAACACCGCATGTTCGGGGCTAGATTTCAAAACCCACATAAGAAAAGTCAATTTTACAAACCTAATTTTTTTTTTTTTTTTTTAAGTCAATTACTTTTAAAAAAAAAAAATGCTATTTAATTTGTTTGAGGATCCTTCATATTAAAATTTAAACTTGAGATTCACCAGCAATCTGCTTTTAAGGAAAAGTTTGACATCTGAGGTTACTTTTAAACGGTGGCAACTACTACCGTTACATTATGATTTTAATGCTTAAAAAAAACAAACAGCCCTGAATTTTGAAATGTAGCCTACTTTGGGATTCTGCAACTACAACTTTTATGGGTTCCTTAAAAACCAAACTTTAAAAGGTTAACAAAACCTTAATTTCATAACTGCTAAGCAAAGCATGTCACTTTGGAAACTAACATTTTTAACTCAACTTTTTTTTTTTTTTCTTTTTTTTTATTAAAAAAGGTACAGTTGTGTTTATCTAAACAACAACAAAGAAAGAAAAGCCATCTAACACACTTTAAAAAAAAAAAAGAAAAATAATTAAAATTAAAGTCGGTCCTCTAAATCTATTTAACTAATTTTTAAAATACTACGTACAGAAGCCAGAATGCAGGGGTGAGGATGGAGTGGGAGAAAAAGGGCCACGAAGAAGAACAGTTAGACAATTACTTGTCTGGTGTGGGTAAAGCAACGGGAATCCCGGGAGATACAAGAATCAGTAACAACTGTTTGCTCATAACTGATATTTTTCCCTCATGTTTGTTTTTTTTTTTAATAACGTCCGTATGGGTGCTCTCTGTAGGCCCCCTTCACTGGCCTGGCCGGCGGGGCCTTCAGGGAGGGCCTGGTTCCATTCCAGTCATCTTGCCCTGTGGAAAAGAGAGGGATAAGTCAAGGATGGAGGAGAGTTGGGAGCCAAGGGGCACAGAGGGGACGGCGGTGCCGATGGATGGGCTCCCCTCTGGGGTCAGTGCAGAGGCACGGGGCATCTTCACAGCGGTTTCACCCCAAAACCAGTCTGCAAAATGCCCTGCAGTCCACCAAAACCTCTTGTTTCCAGCACATCTTCTGACATTACAGGAAAATAAAAAGCTTGTGTAGGATCCTACAAGAAAGCTGGGGAGGGACTTTTCATAAGGGCAGTTAATGACAAGACAAGGGGAAATGGGTTTAAACTGAAAGAGGGGAGGTTTAGATGAGATATTAGGAAGAAGTTCTTCACTGTGAGGGTGGTGAGACTCTGGAACAGGTTGCCCAAGGAAGTTGTGGCTGCTCCTCCCTGGAAGTGTTCAAGGCCAGGCTGGATGAGGCTTTGAGCAACCTGGTCTAGTGGAAGGTGTCCCTGCTGATGGCAGGGGGGTTGGGACTGGATGAGCTTTAAGGTCCTTTCCAACCCAAACCATTCTATGATTCTATGATCCCTGGGGAGCCTGCAGCTCCGACAGCCCGGCTAAGCGCCCGCTTGGACAAAGCTGGTGCCTTTGAGGAGTAATTAATTTCAGCAGAGCCGAAGCCAATTCACGGGGCAGCTCTGGCAGCCAGCCACAGAGAAGGTCACGGCAGTCACAGCCCCTTGGGCTGGTGGCCAGTGGCATCTATAACCCCGGGGTCTGGCTGGGGGGATGGCTACAGACAGCACTTCTCTCCTTCCTAGACATCAGGCAAAGCAGCTCCTAGGTAATTGTGCCAAAATAATTAAGACCTTACACTGCTCCAGGACAGCAGCACGTCCGACTGAACTTGTAGACACCAGTCTGCTTCTGACTGTGACTTGCTGCTCCCTCCCCTCCGTGAATACAGGAAAATGTACAGCTGCAGCTTGTGTGGCATCTGCTCACCTCCTCGGAGCAGACATCGCACAGCACTGACTGCTGATGGGATAAAGCACTCGACAGGACAGCCCAAACCCTTCCGCTACCTACAACCACCACCAAAGCAAATCAAGTTCACATTCCCATTGTTCCTGAGCTAGCTCAAGCCCTAAATATCCAAGCTCAGCTTTCACTATGGCTTATGCTTGCAATATTCATACTTGCATGCCTGCCATTCTCTCCAGGGTCATCAGTTTAGAAAGCAAGTGGCTGAAGCCTGGAAGACAGCCGAACCTGTTCCTACCACCACAGACCACGTTCTCACTTGCTCAAAATTGTCTCCAGCCTGGCTCAACAATTTATTTCTCTAATTCTGTTTTCATGAAAGCAGAGACCAAAGGAAATTACTGTGGATAAACAGATTAGCTGTGGCAACTTCATGCCAAGTATACAATGAGCATTTTGGCCTTCATATCCCAGACAACACCACCGCTCTCCTACTAAGTAGGAGGCACAAAAGCCTCTTTGTGCTGCGTGACTAACACAGGCAACAAACCAAGCCATTGAAGGCAGGAAAGACAGCCAAGGTTACTGACAGCAGCTGTCTGTCTATTCAAATTCATCTTAGACTGGAAAAGCATCCCTGGTTAGGCACCTGAATTTGAACTTCTCACAACTTCAGCCCAGAGCAAGGAACATCCTGAGGCCAGTGCAGGAGACAGTTGCTGCATTAACAACTCTGCTTCCCTAATATCAACATGACAGGGCAGAGGGGATTCCCAGTTCCTGAGGATCCCAAAAAGCCCCTCCAGCTGGTCATTATCCTCACTACCTGCATTTATTCACACATTCAAGCAACTGATGCTCAGCTAAAGGGAGTGTTTTTGATACGGCAATATTTCCATGCCGTTAAGCAGCTCGCTGAATGGCTTTCCTAATTGTTTATAGTTCAGCTTGTTTACAGAGAGAGGAAAATGAATCTTACTCATTGCCACATGCAGATGCCATTCATAAGCTCAGATATCTGATCTAGCTTTAAAATAAAAATGCAGTCACACAATCCTTTAGCGCTGGCACCTCAGATATTAGGTCTGTTGTTTTCAACAGTTGGTGATTTACACAGTTGTGCTTAAATTGGTCTCCCACACCTCCCAAGTGTAGCTCAAGTTGACAGCTTTGTGTAATTCAAACTAACTACACTTCATAGACTACTTGCAAGTCATATTTGTTCCACCTAGTCAAAGAGAGGCCTTTATATGACATTTAAATCCATTTTTCAAGCAAATGTATAGCGCAGAATCAGTATCAGCTAGTGGGTTTTTGAGGATAAAGGAAGCAGATGGAACCATGCACTCATCCAGCTCAACAAAATATAATCTGTGAAAACCAGACTGCAGCAAAAGTAGTGCTGTGGGTGGAAATCCAGAGCTCTTAAAATATTCTAAAGCTACAAGGAAATCAAAATATATTTTCCGAGTTAAAAAATGGAATTTTAAAAGTGTCACCTTTGAGACAATCAAGTTAGATAAGAAACCACAGAATGACTTTGGTTGTTGGGACCAGGATAATCTGTGGGGTATAAACATTCTACCATGAAAACTACCTGAGGTTCTCCTCAGTGAGTTTTTGCACAGAGTGTGAAGTGGTTACTGGAAAACAGCTGGTTGACCACAAACATTTCCCGACTACGTGAAACCGCTGCAGGCAATTCCCAATGATGTGCAGACCCTTCCCTGTCAAGAGAACAGTATTCCCAGACATACCATAAGCTTCATAGGTTTCCTGTGCCTCCCCGTGTCCATAATCATAGTATTCTGTGTCCCTGGAAGAGTAATTACGTTGGTTACATACAGTGCTGAAATTGTTTTCCTAAACTGACACAACTTGCACAAACACTTGAAAAGCAAAGATGCCCAATATTGCTCGTGGTTGTGACGTGTCTGATCACTGCTTTTAATTGTCAAGGACATTGGGACACTCCCAAAAGTTATTTCCCAGGTACTCCTGGATTCCAACAGAACAGGACACTTTCCCTACAGCTCAAATTCAGGAATGAGTGTTTCCATTTCTTTAAAAGAAAAAAAAAAAAAATAAAGAAAAAGGAAAAAAAGATCATGCATGATTTTCTCTCTAACAGATAGGAGACAAGCAAACTTACCCTTGGCCCTGGCTGTAGTAGCCTTCATACCCCTCATAGCTCTGGTCTGCGTACGCATCATCATAGCCCTGAAACAGATGATGACATAAACGGTGTTAACGGAAGGACCAAAGGTTAATGCCTGACCAAAAGCAATGGCAAAACTGAATTCAGGCTACAGCAGCTTTCAGAGGAGCCTGTGAATCCTTGCCTGCCACAAGAAATGGCCTCAATCAGGAGGCACAAGGTAGCTATCATTTGCTTGTGTCCTGTGGCTTGCGAGGAAAGAACCACATAAATATTTTACAATGCATTTGAAAGTCATTTACATATCCAAAGCTGCAGTTTGTCTGCAGTACAAACCCAGGTGCCAGGAGGGTTTAGATAACTGTGTTATCTAAAACACAGATTTACAGGTAGACAAAACCCAACCTATTAACTTGTGATTGGTTTCAATGGAAAAACTGAGGAGAAACAGAATTTAGAAAAAACAGTACTTGTGATGGTTCCCCAAAATGCTGTTGTGCATCAAAACCACTCATCTTGTTTTTCCTTTAGAATACTGAGAGCAAAGATGCTAAGATAAGCTTGACAGGATGGTGGTGCTTAGTTATATGCTTTGAAACATCATCATGTTCATTCACATATTTATTTTAAAGATTTTAGGGGCATGAAGAATCCTTTGGTGTTCCCTGCTTAAAGAATCCTCTTGCAGAAAGAGAATGTGATGCGAATTTCATTCATCCGTGATGTAGTTTTTTACCATGCACTGACAGTTAGGGCAAACTTCAGTCTTGGGGGCACATTTCAATTTTATAAAAGCCACCTCTTACCCTGTATTTAGGACACTGAGCAGTTCCCTCCTTTGAGGACTTAAGAGGCAGAGCAGGTCACCCAGCACCGTACTAGTGACTGGTGGCCGCTCCTCCAGCGCAATCTCACTGTTGTTAGCTCTTATTTCAATCATGTTGAATATCTCATACACAATCAGCTAGCTGGAATTAAAAAAACCAAACCCCCAGATATATAGTTTCTTACATATTCATCATAGGTTTCTGGTGCAGGAGGAGGAGGAAGCGGTATTCTCTGGATGCCAGCTGCGCGTGCTCTGGGTGCAGGAGCACCCCGTACTGCTGGGGGGGGAGGAACCCCACGGGCTACAGCTGCTCCCCTGGCAATGGCACCCCGCACTGGGGCTCCTCGCACAAGGGCACCCCGAGGAGGAGGAGGAGGAGGAGGGGGAGGACCAACACCACGTCCCCTGGAAAGGAGATAAAAAGGATTGTGAACCGCGACCGCTGTTCTGCTCACGCGCCGAATACCGAGGGCAGCGCATACGTTCCTTACACCTACTTTAAAATGCAACAGCTTGATAAATAAATACAGTTACCACAGGCTAAGCCATGAATTCTTTATCAAGAATGAAAGCATAAGAATTGTTAACGTTGTTATACTGCAGGATTTACAAAAACCTCTTCTGGGATGAGAACTCGTGTTAGATGCTGTACAAAGAAATAAATCTGATACAGAACTTTGGGCAAGTAATTTCTCAGAGTTCATTTTAAACAACCCTCTATCAGTTACCTGCAATGATGGCCAGACCTCCAGAGCTGTAAAGATCAATGGTGAGATGAGCAGAGACACTTCTGGGCTAAACACTCCAAAGTAAAGACTTTCTCTCACGAAACAGACAGTGAAGCAAGAACTATAGTAACAGTACCACCAATTTATCCCAGTGCCTTGACAGCAATGACAGACTAATGCCATCCTGTAACTTTCAAAGGATGGTCAGTTTAAACTGAAAATGCTTACCCTGCTGAAGGCTACAGAAGCAAACATGACATGTCTATCTACACAGGATTTCGTTGGTCAGTTTTTGAAAGGTTACTTGATGAAGCTACTGATTTCAGACATCAAAAATAATTCAGAAGACAGCTGCTGTGCTAGATTACACCTCAAAACATACAAAACATTTGATGCCAGTTTGCAACACGAGGCTATAAAACCAAGGCCAACAGTTGATATGCAAGAACAAGTAGCTTAACCTCATCTGGCAGGACAACTCTGAGCAAGATGTAGCACTTCCAGGTCTGTGCTTTTGGGAAAGATACCTTGGAACAGGTGGAGGTGGTGGTGGAGCTGCTCCCCTTCCCCGCACAGGGACTCCTCGGCCACGAGCTGGCTCTGGTACACCGTTCAGATAGGAGAGCTCCAAAAATTGCTCCTGACAGATATCATCCATCATATCCTAAAGAAGGGAAAAGAGTCAGCTCCAAAGAACAGCTAACTAGCCAGTCTGTGCTCCAGGATATCACAGGCTACCATGCTGGAATCAAAATAATCTGATAGTCATAAATTAAAACCTGCTGGTTAGTTTTCCAGGGATTTGCTTGTCAGGTAGCAATGCACAACTGCCAGCTTTCTCCACACCAGCCAAGAAGGGCACACCACCTGCATGCCCGGGAGCTGCAGTGAGAACTAGAGCAGGTCCCTGGGAAGAGGACTTTGCTCATAGGGTTTCTGGAGGTATCTGAGGCAAGATTTATTTGCACATGTTGGAGAGATCGGAGGTGAAGTCAGGTAAGACATATCTCACCTCAAGCACCTTACAGCTCCCATTAAAGGCAAGTGGCTGGCAAGGAGCCCACAAAAGGTAACAACATCCTGTTGGAACAACACACTGTGTTCCCAACACACTGGAGGAACAGGATAGGATGCAGTCTGATGAAGAAAGCAAACACCCATTTGCAAATCCAGGCTGTCTTCTCAAATCCTTAGGAATGCAGCATGTTTCTAGCTCCACGCATTTTTATTGCCTCAGAGGATCTAGCTTCAGGAATTTGTACGGTCTCTGCTGACCCCACAGAAGTCATCGTACCCCACCCCTCCCCTCAACACACAGGCAGGCTGGGCCTCACACAAGGATCTTCACAATGCCATGGCAACACCACAAAGCAGAGTCTCCTACCAGATGTGTCTTCACAGCACTGCTGGCTTCCACAGTGACTTCTCTGTCAATTCTCACAAGTTTAACACATTGAAGGCAGCGAGAGATAAGACACTTTAAATAGCAAGGCTGCACGCTTGCTTTAGCAAACTGAGGTTTTGTACATCCCAGGGGTTCCTTGAAGATGACCTCTTTCCTTCAAAAACACTTCACATCGCAATCTCTCCTCCTCTCTGTGTCAGACTCTCAGAAATCACACAGTACTCACACGCTTTTCCACAGTTCCCCACTACCCACTGCTCTCGAGTTCCACCCGCCCCTGGTATTTCAGACAGAACATCTGAGCTCTCCAGGCTCAGCTGTGGAGCACGGTGCTGGGGTGTATTCAGCTCTCTACCTGCCAGGTTTCTGAAAGCAAGGAGCACAGCATGCTTCTTCCCCATTTTGATTTCTCCTCATTTAGCAAGCAACACTATTGTTTTAATAACATGCAAAAAACTCCTTCAAGTTCTGCAGTTCTTGGAGGCAATGCTGTTGTGTTACACACTGGCAGAAAACTGATGTGAAGCTGACCATAAAGGTCTTTCAAGGTTCC